CAGCCTTTGCCGCATGACCGCTATTACCAAGACTTCTGAGAGTGCCGAGTCTGGGGACGTCGGCTTAGTTGACTTTCGGCTCCTGTTCACATAGGAATGACGGGCGATCGATATCGTCAAGGTTGCAACGAGGGGAGGCGCCCCCGTACACCGGAGCGTGGGCGTCGGGATAACCGGGACTGTGATAGCAGTCGTAAGCGGCTTGGATCAAGAGGAAGCAGCCGCGAACACCGCAGAGATGAATCTCAGCGAAGAGCACCACCTACTTGCTTTGGATGCAGGGTGGTGGTCACTATCGGACGGACTGCTGGCGGTATTGGACCGACCCTGTTGCCCGGCGGCAGATGGAAGCGGATGGGTATATTTGCCCAGCGGAGTTCAATCGGAGGGCAGGTCCTCGTCACCCCCTAGGCAGCAGCAGCCGGCACCGGAAGTTGCGGCTAACAATCGCCTTGATGAGTTGGACCAAACGGTAGCCTCGGTCCAGGAATTTGTTGAGATGGAGCGAGCAAGGCGTGCGGAGAGGGAACAACGTAGGTGAGAACGTGAGGAAGCCCGAAGGGCCGAAGAGGAGGCGCGAGCCGCAGAAGCTTAAAGACCGCTTCGTAAAGCTGAAAAACTACGCAAACTTGAAGAGGAGCAATTGGCGATGGCTAAGGTTGTGGAAGTCCAGCTGTTCGTGAGATTGAGAGACATCCGTGAGGAGATAAAAACCGAGGTTCGTAAGGCGTTGACGAGTATAATGTTGAAGAGTCAACTGACAACGACCGTGAACACCAAGGATAAAGAAAAGGCGGTTGCGGTTGAAGAGCCACCGTCTGCACCAGGGAGTGAGGTGGAGGCCATAACAGAGGGAACGGGCAAGTTGTCTATTCAGGAGAAGAGGAAACGGGGCGAGGACACACCAGTGGGGGACAGCCCTCCGGTGGTTACCCCTGCTAAACGTACCAGCAAACGAACTGGCGTTCGCCCGTTGCCCGATGATTGGCTTTGGGAACATTGTTGGCGTTCATCACCAAGGATGGGATGTTACTCACATCGAGTAAGCGAACACGCACGTGTCCTCGCACCCTAGGGTACGGCAGTCCTGCGCATGCGCAGGTTATGACATCCAATCGATTGTGAATTAAATCCGCAACATTCGGATTTCGTGTCCAAATGATGCGGAGTGAGCGACGTGCGCGTCGAATCACACAAGCTGGTAGTATGAACCCACCCAACTTATCATGCACTAACTTACGGACAGCAACCAACTTGATCCGATCATCAAAAACCAAACAAAAGACAATGCGAGCCGAGAAGTTGAAACCAAACCCATCCTTAACAACTCTTCTGATCAATCGTCTCAAATAAGCATGAGTGCTCTTCTTCTCAAAATCCTTGATTGCGTTAAACAGACTGGATAAAGAATCCAAGTCCCACCTCCGAAGCAGGTTAAGTTGTTTCGGGTTACATAAGATAAAAACCGAAAATGGTTTCTTGATGTTCGTACGTTCCCTCCAACGCTTTAGATACCGGAAAACAATGCAACCATCCTTTTCAAACGCCTTTTTGAACTTATTGAGACGACTTGTACATCCATCGTAAGTCACAACAGAAGTGCCAAATGCCTTACGTATACCTTGCCAGCGATCACACCAGGTACTGCCACCCTCAACAATCAGAGTAAAGGAACGCAAACCCTGCTCATCCTGCTTACGAAGGAGGTTAAAAATACGAACCGACCAGGCATCATCCTTATTGATTCGCACTCGAATAGGATTGATGGGTCGTGTATCATCATGTTCACTCCTTTTGTGCTCAGTCAGTCTGACCGTTCTTTCTTGCCCGGGCTTCCTTTCTTAGATGAGCCCGAACGAGTCCTGGCTGTATTTAAAAAAGGACTCCATTGGCGGATGAAGACCGATTCAACCACAACCAAATCAGCATTTTCGACAATTTTCACAGGCAGCAAGCAGTAGGATTCGCGGCCAACACATTTCCACCACCTATATAGGTGTGATTTCTTAGCGTTACGCTTGCTCACTGACAAGTGCTCCTTCTATCTGATCGAGGGTGCACAGGAGGTTTGACCAACATACTGGGACTTGCATCTAGTTGACGCAACGACGTAAACACAATTAGGCTCTTTAAGAAAGTTAAAACCAAAACGTGAGAGGAGCTTAATCCAAGAATCGACACATTTGTTAAGCCATCGAAGACGGCCACGCAGAGCAAACAAAAGCGCCAAAAGACAGTAAATCTCATCAAGGTTATCGTCAGCTTCTCCGCGGAACGATGCGATGACGTCGGTGACAACGACCCGTTGGACAGTGGTTAGCCATATTCAATTACGTCCTTCGTCATCGTTCTCGTCGGTACCATATTGTGCCGCCTGGTCTTCCAAGTTCTCGGAAACACCGAAGTTGGGTAGCGACTTACCAAATCTCACCTGCGCCCGTCGATCAGCTACATCAAAAATCGCCTGTACCTTAGTACTATAGCTGACGCCTTCCTCGCGGCAAATCCTACGCAGTGTGTCGTAGTCCAGAATAGATAGCTCCTTTCGAGCGTTATCAAGGAAAACCATTTGTTCGATCATCATATCCCTGGTAGGAGGCTTCATAGCGGTGAGTGCCTTGGTAGTTGTTCCACGGGTTGACCGCCGAACTGCAATCTTCGTACGAGTTCGCTGCAGACGCTCCGAGCGAGAGCTTTTCAAATTGGGCTAACATCAAACAGTAGGTCGTTTCTTGTTCCGCCGTTGAACTAGATCGCTGCATGACAGATTGTTGTCTACGAA